AGGCAAAAGTATGCAATCTTTACCAGGCAGGCAGTACCGTGGGCTATTCAATGGCGCTGCACTGGGTGTAGAAATTGACTTTTGAGGGCATCAAGAAGTTTGGAATAAGCCGGGTGCCGGTGGCTCACAAATGTAATACTAGCTATTCAGGAGGCTAAGATCTGAGGATCACAGTTCAAAGCCAGCCTGGGAAGGAAAATCCAAGAGATTTTTATCTCCAGTTAATCACCAGAAAACCAGAAGTGGCGCTGTGGCACAAGTGGTAGAGCGTTAGCCTTGAGCTGAAGAGCTGAGGGCCAAGGCCCAGGCCCAGAGTTCAAGCCCCATGACTGACACACTGACATACACACACACCCCACACACACAAAAAAAGTTTGGAACAGGTCTTTCTTTGCCTGAAAGATGGTGGCTGGGAGGCCAGCCCCTGAGGTAAGCAAAGCAGGGAAAGTGTCAGGAACAGGCACCAGGTGAAGGGCACAAGACACAGAAGGAGCCCATCAGTCTTGGATAAATCTGTCCTGCCAAGAGGCCCACAGTCCAGAGGGTGAACAGAAGAGACCCAGTTAGGTTGAGTAGGTGAAGGCAAAAGGAGGGAAGGTGAAAAATGTCCATGAGGGACAACCTAAAAGTCCCTCAACCACATTCCCTCTTAGCAAGGAGGAAGTCTACCAGCACCTCTCCTAAGAGACAGTTCAGCACTGGGACTCTGGTCCTTTTCCTTTTCCTGTGAGTATCTAGAAAATTGTGACCTGGCTTAGAGGCAAAGAAATGAATAGAATCCCATCCATCGCACTTCCTTTTGCAGACCTGAGTTGGAACCCCAAGCCACAGCTGTCCATGGGCTCCTCAGCTGGTGTCATTTCAGGTGTCTGAAGATATTTTGTGCCTAAAACTGTGTGTATGTGTGTGTGACAGAGAGAGACAGAGATAGAGAGAGGCAGAGGAGGAGATTATCCTGGTTCTGGGTTTCCTTTCAAAGCCGAGGTCAGCCATCTTGACCCCACCTCCCACCTTGATCACTACAGACACCTGCCTGCACCAGCAGCCTCCAGCTCACAGAATGTTCCTTGGTGTTGCTTTTCAGTCTGCCACTTCAGGCCCACTTTTCCATTTCACATTGTCCCCTATTCCTCTCAGCCTTGTCCAAGCAGGAGCAGTGACCAAGTGACAGCCCTCTTGGCTGCCTTACTTCCAAAGTAGGAGCAGAGGCCTGAGGCTTGAGGCTGTTGTGTGAGCCCTGCACATGAGCACTGAGCAGTCCCTGCCCGCTTTCCTGCCTCTATTCCTCCCTTGGCCCAGGGGCTTTTCCCTAACATGCCTCCAGAACTTCCATATTTCATTTTCTTTTGTTGGTGCTGGAGCCATGGCCTCCACATTGAATCCCGGGCCATTCTACCACTGAGGTAAAACTCAGTGGTAGAATGATTTTTTTAGGTGACATTTACTACTTCTAGGCTTGGCATCAGTTGTTACCGATTCCAGGTGTACCTGGAACTGCTTTTCTGTGAGTCAGACGTCAGGTTTATTTTTAAATTTTTAAACCTTTCTGTAGACTAAGAAAGCAAGCTCCAACTATGTGATTTTGCTCCTTCCCTGGTGCAGTGCCCTTTGATACCAGAAAAATATTAATAGCAAGCAATATTTTATGTATGCCGCATCCAGCTGCTCCTTGACCCTGGGGGCCTAATGGCACAACGGGACAGGCTGCATTGCTCAGCAAGGGTCTGAACCTAGTGTCATCTTAAAGCAATTACTGAAGTGGTCACATAGTCAGCCTCACTTTAAAAACGAGCCCATCCAACCATGGCTGCTCCTACTCCCTTCCACCTACCAGCAGTGACAGATGCCCTAGACTGAGGTCAGATTTAAAAAGCCGCTCTGACCACAGAGGAAGGTAGCACACCTGAAATCCTGGACAGAAGGCTTTGGGCCTAATAGGTGTCTACCATATGCTGAGACACAGCCCTGTGCCTCCCCAGCGGTTAGAGTAAGGAATGATGACTGCCACACAGAGAAACTCTGCTCTCCTCCAAGAGGCCAGATGAAGCTCAATATTTAGGCTCAATGTTACTGAGCTGAGGTGAATTGATTTGGATTCAGCCTCCGCAAGATGGGTTAGGGGAAAAGGAGCAGTGGAGGAAGAAGGTCCCTGTTCTCAACCAAAGGTTGTCATGCAGGAAATCGGTCAAACCAGTTTCTAACAATAACAGTTCAACTCTTAAGCAAACCCCTGAGTTCATTTCCTTCTTTGGAGGCAGAGCACTCACCTCTTACAGGAAGGGATCACCTTTTCTCCTTTGTCTGGTTTACAAAAACAAAAGCTTACTGGTAAAGAAGCAAAAGGCTTCTCCATTTGCAACTACATGGTGTAGATATGAAACTCCCACTGGAGGAGCTGGTCAGGTGGATGGTTTTACACCGTAGGCTCACAAACAGGTGAATGAATATTCAGGCCTCCACAGGCTTAGCCACCTGGCAGCCCAGGACAGTGGAGCAGCCTCAGGACCCCTTGGAACTGAATGAAGCAAAGCCATGAGAAAGAAAATGCTGGAAGGGCTGCCTCTCCCACCTCCCTCCAGCTGTCTCGCATGGTCACAGAGAAGAGGAAAATGGTTCAAAAGCAGGGACAGTTGCCTAGCTTCAGAGCCCACCTCACCCCAGACCATCTGTGACTTCATTTCCTCATTTGTAACACAGGAATCATAACAAACAGCTACTTCCCAGGGCTGCTGGGGGGAATTAATTTAGAAGATATAAATTAGGTGTGCAGCCAGTTTCTGTGAATATGACCTCAGGCCAGTCCCACGGGGGTCCTCCCCTCAGGGATCTTGGAAACCACTATTATCTTTCTTCTCCAGTGGGCTACTTGACAAAGCTGGCCCTGATTTGATTTACGAGGTATTGTCACCCTGGATTGTCCCTCCCCCATACCTCCCACTTTCAGCTCAGGTTCTCTCAGTAACAAGAAAAGTACTCCGCCCCACACCCAAACAATACAGCTCAGAGGGGCCTCCCCCAAGCCCTCGGTAGCCATGACAGGGCTGGCTCTGGAGACCCGACACACCTCTTTAGATTCCAGGGGAACTGCTGGGGCCTCGGCTGGAGGTCAGGTAGTAGGTGCTGGCCTTAGAGCGCCCTCTATTGGCAGGACTCCGACTACCTAGGCCTTGCCACTGTCCATCCTGAGACATCTGGAAGACAGCGCCCCTCAGCAGGACTGGCCCCTTAACCCCTCCTCCGCCTCCACAGCAGATACCCAGGGTAGGGCCACAGGCCCTCCACCTTCTGCTCTGAGTGCCTGCAGCTGAGTAAATATTTTCCCTATCTCTTTGCCTGCATTCATGTCCAGTTAGATATGAAGGGGGGGAAAAACCTCCTCTGTCCTCCATAAAACAAGGGAAAAGACAAGACGATATTCACATTGTGTAGCACCAGGGCTCTTGTGAAGCTGGTCTGATAAAATGTTGCTGTTAGAGTCTCTGTGGAGGAGAGGATATTGAGGTGGCACCTTCGGGTGTTTGTGCTGCTCCTGAAGAGGAAAGTGCTCCACCAGTGCTGAGCCGGTCAGCCTCGGCCTGCAAGAGAAGATGGTTAATCTTACGCATCCCTCTTGTATTTTGTAAAATCTTTTTTGTCTCCTGGCAGGTGAACTTTTTTTTTTTTCCTGGAAACCAATTAGCTACTAAAATTAAACCTGCTTCTCTTTAAATTAAGCCTTTTCATAAGATGGTCTTAAAATTGGCCTTCGCTTTTCAGAGTGCACAGCTGACCCAGTTGTAATTGGAGATGTGTCGGGCGCCCCCCTCCCCAGCCCCGGCATTCCTCCACCTGCCCCCAGTGCGGCCAGGTGCTCTCCTTCTCCACGCTGGCCAGGGCCAGCGTCATCTTGGCAAAGGCCGAAAGGTTCACCCAGATTATCTGCTGCTCCCGCCCAAGTGCCCGGAACGCAACTGGCGGAGTTTTAATCACTGTAAATGCAGGTGACGGTCAGATTAGCCAGAAGAGCAGAGGATGCCTACCGATTGTTTCGCCATGATGTATTGTTTATGGGATTAATGTTCCGAATGGCCGAGGGTGTCAGCTGATATTTATTACTGTAAGCTGTCTCAGCTGTTCGGGTTCAGCAGCTAGACCCATGGCCACAGGAAATGTGGGGCTCGGGGGTGTCGTGTGGGGGGGGGGGGGGGTCAGGGAGCCTCTGGGGAATGAGGGGCCATCCAGGTAGGGCTCCAAAGGGGGCTGAAAAGCAGGTTATGTCTGACAGGCCTGGCATCCATGAGGAATTGTGCTGCCTGCCAGGTGGCTGGCTGTAGGTATTGTGTAGCTCTTACCTCAGTCCCTTCTCCAGCCTTCCAAGAGAGGACACTTTGAAGGTCACTATGCCTTTAAGGGAACCCTTTCTCTGCCCCTGGGCTTGGTAAGGATTCAAGCTACAAGAAGCAGGCCAGGCCCTTTTAAACTTATCTGTAGTGCCTCACGGAGAGAAATAAATGCACATTGCCCCAGTGTGTGTGTAGTAACACACACTGCAGAGGGCTTGTTTTTCCAAAACGAAATTTAATTTAACCCAAGTGTACACTGTCACAATTGTAAACACACTGGGGCCCCAGAAGGGTGGCTTATTGAATTTAATGCCCTAGCAAAGGTCAGCTTTTAGTAAAAGCCAAAAATGGCTGGAATCTGTTCTGATAGCTACTCAATCAGGCCTTGGATGAGGGCAGATGTGTTTATTTTTTCAGAGGGAGTTCCTGAGGTCCCATCTCAAGTTCAGCTGCCTGGCACTTCTCCCCCACCTCCCCCCCTGTGCTCTCAGACAGCTCCCTCCTCCTCCAGGGGAGGTCTCTAGCCCTGCTCACCCAGATGGGCCCCTGGACAAGCAGCCTGCCTGGAGTTGGTGGTCTCTAAGAGGGAGGACAGAGCCCCCTTCCCCCCCCCCCTCCAGGCTGGGGGGGAGGGGTCTGGGAACTAACACTGTCTTTCTCTGACCATTTCCCTCAAAGGATGGCATGAACTGGGTCTGCAAAAATGTCAATGCAAAGAAGAAATAAAATGTAGCCGAATGAAAACACGAGGAGCTGCAGGAGCTGAATTCGGTCCTGAAAAACACCAATTTGCTGCTTTCTGACCAAATGTTTTTCCATCTGTGTACAGCTACAGCTGTGTGAAGAGGGGGAATTAAAAAGAATCCCCATTCCAGCAGTAGATTTAACTGATCTCTGAGGTTCATATCATTTTTCAAATAAAGGAATTATATTATTTCCTCTGCATAATTGAAATAGTATTAAATGTCTCAAAGCACATGATTAGAAAATGAGATCTTTTAAATGAGCAAGAGATTGCATCGCAGTTTAGACAATTCCAGTGGGCTTTATTGTTTCAAAAAAAAGAAAGAGGGAGGAGCTGCTTGTGCTGAGTTCATTTATTTACTGACCTGTCCCTTCACTCCCCCAGTGGTTAGGCCAGGGGCTGGTCAGTGATTTTTTTTTTTTTTTTTTTCCCCATCGCCAATCAAGCCAGGGCTTCAGTGGAGCAGGAAGCTGTTGGGGGAGGGGCGGGATAGCAGATGATTAAACCATCTTGTCCTGCAGGTAGAAGACTGTATGTAATCCTCACCCTTTGAACAGGAGGGAAAAAAATCATTCCTTGCAAACAAGTCACTACAGAAACATACCCCAACCCCAGCTCCTCCACCCCCTTGCCAGCCACACCGGGAAGCGAATTCTTAGGACTTCTGACTGTAATGACATAAGGAATGTAAGGAGAGGTGGGAGGTTTAATTCCAGAAAAATTACAAGGTCCTTCAAAAGCGCTCACATCGAGGGCTCAGGCTAGCGTAAACAGGCTTCCTCCAGTTCAGTGGAGCGGGGAGCGGAGACTCTGAGATTAGCAGCTTCTCCGCTGCCCTCCTATAGAAGGGATTTCTAAAGCTCAAAGAATTCTGTGTTTAAATGATCACAATAGGCTGCTGCTATCAGATTTTAAAAATAAATGCAGCTTTGCTACAAACCTTCTCCACGGAGAAAAGCCAGGCAGATCGATTTTGAAGACAGATCAATTTTTAGAGTGCTGGCAACTAGGTGGTGCGGGATATTCCTGGGTGGACATGAGCTTTGTGATCGCAGGGGCTGGACCCAAGGAAGCCAGGCCCCCCAGCTTCTGGTCTCCCCTGATTCTCCCGCTAATTTGTCTCCTGTTGACTGATTGGGGAAGAATAGCAAAAGCCAATCTCCTAGATCTCCTAGCCTGTATTGCAAAAGGAGCTTGTTAACCTGGACCTTCAGAAATCCCCAGCTTGAAACATGGGAAAGCAGGCCAGAGCATCGTCCAGCTCCTGAATTAAATTCTGTTCTGAGCCTGAGTTGGGAGGAGGGGTGTTGAGAGAATGAATAAGACTATCCAGTGCCTGGTGGGTCGGAGGAGGCCAGCTGCCTTCTCATCCTGGGAGGTGGCCCCTCCCAAACCCACCAGCAAGTGAGCAGAGTTGTAATCAGGCACGGACCACCACAGGCCCATCCCTTCAGGCAGGACAGACCAAAGCCTGGTCAGTGTTTAAAGATGGTCTGAATGAAAACCATTAACAAAGCCAAATGGAAAAAGGTTCCCGGGGGTTGTGATGGACAGACCTGCAAGGGCTTGCAAGACAAAAGATTTCCTCTGACTTCTCTGGCTCATCCAAGCTTCTCTCTGGCTTTGAACAGCAGTGACACAGAACTACAAGGAAACGGAAATGCCCCTTCTACCATGCTGGAAATGTGGCTTTGATCCTTGAAAATTGTTTTTCCTTCCGAATAGTGCACCAGGGATGTTAGCTGAAGGGCCAAATGCCTGCTTTGAGGTCTACAGTTTTGGAACACTGCAACAGGGAACTTGGACAGCGAATGGTCTGTAAAGTATTTTTGGTCTCTTACCGCGAACTTCGGGAACTGTGCTGTAGAGCCCTCCCCAGGCCCCAGCTCGCCACCCCTCGCCCTGCTCTGATAACAGCCTCCAAGAATGTCCACATTTGCTTCTCAGCTAGAGACACTGGATGTCACCCGCTTTTCATCAGCTCCAGGGTAGATGAGAGGGGCCTGAAAAATGAAGAATTTGAAAGCTCCCATTTGTAAAAACAAAATTCTTTGAAAGCCTTCTTTTCTTCTCTTCCCAGTGCCACCCCCACCCCCTGTGGCCAGGACCCCAGGACCTCCCCTCCCCCCACACACACTCTTAAGATAGAAAGAGGATGCTCCCCTTTTTCCCCACTCCCACCCCAGTGAGTCCTGGTCAGACTTTTGCTCTGACCACAATTGCATCTGAATGTGTGGAGGCAGAGGGCTGGGGCCAGAGGGCAGGCAAGGCCTGGGCCTGCCTGCAATGGCGGGTTCAAACCAGTTGTGGGAAAAACTGAGTCCTCCCCCTCCTCCCCACCCACCCCATGCAAGCGGCTGCTTTTGGCTGAGTTCCCTGCGCCCAGTGCAAAACACCCTTTCCCCTTTGCTCTCCCTTGGTTACTATGGAAACAAGGGTGTCATTGATGTGGGTTGAGCTGGGGAACATGTCAGTGCACAGCTGAAAGTCAGCGATTATGCTGGTGGTTAGCACCGTGCCAGGGCTAGAGGAGTCCGCAGCAGCCAGGGAGCTGCAGCAGAATAAGTCCTGTTTCTCCTCCACCCCTTTCGCCCTTCCCCGTCCTCCCCTCCTCCACCTCCACTCATCTCGCCCCTGGCTTTGGACACATTTCTTTTATTGCCCCCTGGGCTAAAGTGGTGGCTATTTTTGTGCCACTCTGTGCCCCGCCCTCCCTGTGGGCTTGCTCCTTATTCGGCCGGGCCTGGAGGGTGACACCACTCACCCTCACGTCCACCCATCCTCCATTCCCATCACAGCTTTGATTTCTCTTTTCTTCCCTTCCCAGGGACGCTTCTTACTTCCTTTTATTTTTAGCTCAGCACTCCATGTGGTTTCAGGGTTCAATCTGATCCATCCATCGAAAGGTTGTTTGTGTGTGTGTGTGTGTGTGTGTGTGTGTGTGTGTGTTTTATAGTCCCTTTTGAAAATGATAATCAAAGGAAGAGACGCGGTGTTTGGTCATGTGGAAAAACTCAATGTATAATTTAGATGTCTGTCAAAAATGCAACAAATAAAATGTAGCTGAAATGAAGGCGGCCTGGAATGTGTTGTGTTTTTTGCTGCAACTCTGAGAAGGCCTCAGTGGCTTTGCCCTTCCCGAGGTTAGCCTGCCTCCACCCCTGCTTTCAGAAGGACAAAGATAACGTTAATAATACCACTGCCAGCAGCAGAGACACAGCCGCCCTTTATTAGGCTCCTCCTGCATGTCAGGCCCTGGACAAATATCAGTGCAGTTGAGGAAATAGAGGCCCTTCCCTTTGTTAAGGACTTGGCCAAGATTACAGAGCTATTACGTGCAGGCAGGGCCGGAAACCCGGGTCAGCCACCACCCCCAAGAACAAACTCCCTTGCAGGGGAAGAATTGGCAGGAGAGGGGAACCCAAGGCAGGAGAGAAAGAAGGCCTAGAATTGCTTGATAAATTACAGGACATGCAGTTCAGCTTCAATTTCAGAAAGAGATGCCTACCTTGTTTTACTTCAAATATACCGCATGCAATATTTGGATTACAATTATAATACTCCAGAAACATGAGCACCAGTGGCTCATGCCTGTAATCCTAGCTACTCTGGAGGGAGGCTGAGATCTGAGGATTGTGGTTCAAAGCCATCCCGGGCAAGAACGTCCATGAGACTTTTTTTTTTGTCAGTCGTGGGGCCTAAACTCTGGGCCTGGGCACTGTCCTTCAGCTCTTCAGCTCAAGGCTAGCGCTCTACCACTTGAGCCATAGCACCACTCCTGGCTTTTTCTGCTTATGTAGTGCTGAGGAATCGAACCCAGGGCCTCATGCATGCAAGGCAAGTACTCCACCACTGAGCCACCTTCCCAGCCCCTGTGAGACTCTTATCTCCAATAAACCACTAGAAAACCAGAAGTGGCACTGTGGCTCAAGTGGTAGAGTGCTTGCCTTGAACTGAAGAGCTCAGGGACAGCGCCCAGGCCCAGAGTTCAAGCCCCACAACCAACCCCAAAAAATAAATATTCTAGAAAAGTGTTTATCTGAAATTTAAATTCAACTGATCGCCATTTTGTGTGTGTGTGTTTTGTTGTTGTTGTTGTTGTTTTGACAAATATGACATTACTATCCAAAATTTAAAAGGATAGAACAATTTAATTCAAATAGGTAGTCTTTGTAGTCAGAGAGGCCCCGGTTCAATCTTGGCACCTTCATACATCAACTCTGTGATCATGGGCAAGTTACACGTGCCTTTTCATCGGAGAAATAGGGCTAAGGAGACAGGTTTGTGTGTGTGCTTGAACCCAGGGCTAGGTCTGTCCCTCAGCTTTCTTCACTCAAGGCTGGCACTCTATCAGTTAAGCTACATTTCACTTGCTGGTTAATTAGGGATAAGAGTGTCCTAGACTTTTCCACCTGGGCTGACTTCAAACTTCAATCCTCCTATGTCAGCCTCCTGAGTAGCTAGGATCACAGGCTTGAACCACTACAAGGCAGAAGATTTAAGAGAAAGAATGTAAATGAAATACTTAGACCTAGAGCCAGACATAGCATATAATAATAGGATGCTGTGTTTATCTCAGTTTATCTGTAAGGGAGTAATCATCATGTGATGTTATCAAGAGGAGTAGATGTTATATATGTATAGATCAGAGTGTATAGTAAATCACTGGTCACTATTATAATAACTGATCAATTCTGGAGTCTAGGCCTTCTCAGCTCTGTCCCCCAGCTCCCGGCATACATGGTTCTGTGACTTTCAAAGCAACAAACAAGCAGCAGGCTTCCTGGAGGGCCTGGCAACCCCCTTCTCTCCCAGGCTCCCTGGGCCACCCCAGCCACACCTCCTACAATTAGATTTGTAAGTGGGAACAAGCTCTTGTCAGAGGCTCCTGATTGGCTCCAGGCAAAAACACAGTTTAGCGCTCAGTCAAGCTGCATTTTAGGGCCTCTGCCCCCCCCCCCCCCCCGTCCCCCTTAATTGCAATCTGTTCTGTAATTTCCTTTTCCAACACTGCAGAACACAGAGAAGCTGCAGTCACCAGAAGCAGGGCAAGGAGGAAGGAGAGAGCTCTGGCTCCCTGCAGTGCTTCTGCCCATCCAGCTTGTGTGTGTGTGTGTGTGTGTGTGTGTGTGTGTGTGTGTGTGTGTGTGTGTGTGTGACACCATCCAGCATAAATCATATTGAGACCTGTGGAGGTGTAGCA